CATTCTTTAAAATAACTGATATATTATTTTTAAATTTTTTATTTAAACAAAAACATAAATAGCACTGAAATTAGTTAAATATATGTAAACAAATTTGTATCACAGTTTCTGCATTATTAATCTCATTTTATATGCAATGAAGTTTCCTTGTTCTTGTTTTCCATCACCATATTTTCTTGTCAGTCAATATAAAAGTTCATAGACGAACATAAAGATAATAAACAGCAAACTGAATTGAAAAGTATGGCTTACCAGCCTAGCAACAAATAGCGTCTTGTATGGATCTTCGGTGGCATTTGGGTCACTTTGTGGATCATCTGCAATGTACAATAATGAAAATTTTCATTAAAAAAATAAATAAGGAACGAAAGATAAACAAGAAAGTGCAAAATTTACAAGGGGATTACATTTCTCTAGCTCTTCTGCAGCCTTTGCAGCACCTTTCTCCAATCTTAATTGGTGAACTCTGGCTCTCCTTTGGCTCTGCACATGGAGACACAGCATAGAAATATAGAGTACTCAGACACCAACACAGCAAGCAACTTTAAATAAAAATTGTTTCACCCGAGTTCAAATGGAGAAGGTTGGACAAGCACAAAACACACAAAAAGTTCAAAGTGCAAGAATAACAAGACCAGTTTTAATGTAGCATTCAAATCCATCAAATTTTTTATAATTTGCTCAGCCACTAACACAGATATATTTTATCGGAAGCAACCAGCCATGGTTAGAATTAACAGACAGTTTTCTAGAATTGAACAGTAAAAGCACAAATTCTAACTGACAATATCAATCAAAAGAGCAGAATACAAAGGACTAGGGTCAAATACCTTAAAGGTCAAACACATAACAAATGGACTTCAATCTATGCTAAATGGACACAGGTAAGAGTATTTAATAGAGGCATAAATGCAAGTGTCCTACAAGATATTCCTAATTATGTCCAATTGTACCTATTGACGTGGGGAATATCGTTGTCGCTTCTCATACCATAGTAAATTAAAAAAATATTAAATAAAAAAGTAAGTAAAAGTAAAAACCAGCTTCCAACTATTTGGTTTCCAACTTTCCATCTCTCTCTCTGTGTCCCATAGCCTGGGAGAAGAACTACGACGGCATGACAGTTTTCAACTATTTGGGAACAGCAGTTAAAATGCCATGTCTGATTAACGTAGACTTCAACTCCTAATCTCATATTCTCATCTACGTGCTCAACTTTCAATCTTAAGTGGACTCTCTGGCTTTAAAAGTCGGAAAACTAATAAGATGAATTACTTCTAAATTTCTAAAAGCATTGCAGATTACATGAATGGATAGCCCATGCTGAAAAAAAAAGGCATCGTTTAAACCACAAGAGGATAAGATAAGAGTATATAAGCAACAATCAAAATTACATAAATCAATAAGAGCTTCTCCAATCATCTTATAGAATACCATGTTTTTTAAAATTTAAACAATATAAAAAAAATGTAATGGAGTATATAATCAAGTGCCAAAGACAGTCATAATGAAAAATAAACAATAAAATCACACTGGCCCCACACAAGTAAACATTATACTTCATCGGTTCTTTTTTACTTGACCTGCTTTGACTTTTACACTATTCACCAATCCACTTTTGACCGTCTTTTGTGGATTATATGTAAGGAAAAACTTGTTCATGTGGAATCTTACTAGAATCGTCTAATTAAGTACTATCACAATATATAACTTTTATAATTTTTACTTATAGAGAATCAAAGTTATTGATGATTAAAGTTGTGCATTGACAAGTGTGATAAAATAAACAGGTCAAGTAGAGGAAGTATTTACCTATTAAGACAGAAGTAGCTTTTCCAAAACCAAAATAAAGAATATGAATCAATTTTAACAGTTATAACTAGGTGTGAAATTTTTGTATCAAATCTTATCACACCCCCTCCTCTTCCAAGAAAAGGGTGCAGCTTACTCAAGCCTGGAGAAACTTAAAGGGTGCACTCCACCAGCATACTAATACCAATGTCTTAATGATAAGTGATTCACCAGCACAATAAATAAAAAACAGTCAATCAAAGTAATTGCACAATCAAGAACAACATACCGGAGTTTCCCCTTCTTTGACGGGGGGCGCATACTCAGGATCCCCAGGCTCAGCAAAAAGATTCACATATTGCCCCATCCCTTCAAGAAACAATTTACAATTTAGATCTTGCAAACAAATTGAATCAACAAAAGATTCATGCAAACATTAGTTACCCATATAAGGAGGGCATTTCCTCTTCTCCGGTGGCGGCTTATACTCCAATGGAGGCCGAGGCTCGAATAACTTCAGCAAGTTTGGAGTCAGACCAGTCGGATGAGACTGTCCAATCTGCAAAATAAAAATCACACAATTCAATTGTTGTTATTTTATTCACAATCGCAAATAACCGAGGCACCTCAATCGCTGCATAATCATGCCCTAATCCACCATAACCACCACCCCCCTCCCCCAAACACTATCTTAGACAAAACAATTACCAGCTAGAAATCAATTATTTTCAGCTCCTTAAGTTACATCTACAAATTTATCTTACACAAAAGTTCAAATTCATAAACATAATATTGATTAACTTGTCTCAAAAACAAAAAATTGACACTATCGGAGAATTCAAACGAACCCTAAATAACTAAACATCAGCAAAACAGCAAGATCAAATAAGACGTAAACAAAAAAAAATCCAGTATAATAAATCAAAACCCTAAAATTGTACCATTTTAAGCTGAAGAACATTAGCACGATTCTGCGCTTTGGTGCGACCCTGAACGGCGGCATTCTGATTGCGCAAGAAGGCATCATTGTCTCCCATGTCGCTAGAAATCTACGAAATCTAGGGTTAGGGTTTTGATTTAATTAGGGATTAATTTCTTCGGAAAATCGGATTGGTAGGAGAGAGAAAAGAATGCATCAGATTTGGAAGAATGAATGAATTTGGTAGTCGGAAAATCGAGAGAAAGAACGAGAGTGAGGAGGACAGCTAAAATAAAAAAGAGAAAAGAAAAGAACAGGGTTTAGGCTCGCAAATTTATACAGAATTGAAATGTAATTATTGGAGTCGGATTACTTGAATTTGTTTTTTATGAGTCGGTTTTGGTTTATTGGCCCAAACATGACTTCAAAGTTCAATGTTCAATGTTCAAATTGGTTATTCACTCGAAAGACAACTAGGCTTTTGGTCCATACAATGTACGAGTTTATTATTGGTGTTTTTTTTCTTTTGGTTTGTGTGATTTTGAATACCGAGTGTAGTGTGTATTTGGAGAGGATAAACGAGGAATACACTTTGTTGCATCATGTAGTGTATTCAATTATTAAATAATAACAACATAGACACATGGTTGATTATTGATTATTGGTCGTTAGTTACTTTGTGAGTGGTCTTAATTTTGCATCTCATACAATCGATGTGTTCATTAGACTATGATCTTGTAACAATAGTTTGTTTTTGTTTCTTTCTTTCTTATGCAAAGCAGTAACATTTTGATGTTGATATTATGGGATAGAACACCAATCGATAATTAGGAAGATAGATTAGAATAATATTATTGAGTTTGTGTTTAAGGTATATATTTTTACATAGAATATGTACTGTGGAGAATGAAATGACATTATTCGAAATTTATAATTGAAAAAAAAAATAAAAAAAAATAAAGGGATTAAAATTAGAGAGAAAAGGAAAGGTTTAATTGAAGAGGGAAGATGAAGATGAAGGGTGTGTGGGAGATGAAGTTGAATTGGTTTGGATTATTATGGGTTTTAAAAAATTAAAAATGTAAGAAGACACATGACACATTGGGGAAAGAGAAGATGGGGAAGTGTAATAGAAGGGGGACATGTGTCTTTTCTGATTTGAGTTTTTAAATACTAAGTATAGATAATTTTGACACATTAAAAGTTGATTGTGGAACACAACTCTTTGCTTAGTCACAAACTCACAATGAAGTGTGGCTACATCAATTAAAAGAATGTTGTGATCAATTTCCTCGCATGAGGTATCAACTATTCACTTATTGTTAGGGTTGGATTATGGACGTTGTCAGCAATATTAGTCATTCTATGTCATGTTCAAAAATTACTACGTAGTTGATTGATAATTGATTTGACTAGCTACTTGGTTCAATTAGATATTTTACCTAATTGGTTGTATTATGTATCTGTACATAAGTGTTAAGTAAATTTACTTGTATTTGGAAACCTGTACTCTTTTTGATTCGGGATATTTAACATACTCCTATGGGTATATAGTTTCTTCACAATATCCCTTTCGAGGACCTCGGCTGATTAAAAAGTTGTAGGTGGCTCACTTGTACACTATTGGAAAATATGTTGAGTGCAGACCATAAAGTCAGTTGTTTAATGTAAAATAGAGTTAGTAAATTCATTTTATATTGGGAGGAAGGGAACACGTGAGGGTGGAAAAAAGTAAGTGGGTCATAATAAGTGAATAAACATTAATAATGGTAGGTCATTTTCACATTAGAAAATATGTTAATATTCTTAAACAGCTAAAAGAGAAAAATGTGACAATAATTATGGAATAATAGAGAAAGTAGTAATTTTGTAACGAACATGTGAAATAACAACTAAGTATATTGAAGGTTTAATAACTATAGGAAAAGGTTGTCATTTGGCTAAAATTTCACAACTTGCTAACATAAAGCTTATTTTAATATTAACTCATTAAATTAACTTTTTATCAAACAATTATATATGTATTTGAATGCTTATATACAACTCTAAAATATATCATAAGATTCATAACCATGCATAAAAAAAAATATTTCATATTAAATAAGAAGATATGAGGATGTGTGGCATGAAAAAATATTTTGCTTAGTAATGAGAAGCACCATACTAGATCGGAGTCTCTCACAGGTCAACCCGACCCGGGTACACAAGCAAGGCTTACCCGACTCGGGAGGGGAGAGGGAATTTATGTACGGAGTAAAGGTATCCCCACACCCCAGTTGCCTCGATCTGATCTAGTACTAGACAACCTCATGATTGTAAGATAACAATCTTACCACTAGATCAAGTACTACTTCTTGATAATTAAGTGTTATATATATGCTACCTCTAATTTTATGTGTTTTAACCATTTATATTCAAGTGGTCAAGTTTAAAACTTAGATAGAGTCTAAATTAATGTACAAGAAAAACATTTGTGTACTGTTTTTTTTTTTTTTAACACACATATGTGTACTGTTAAAGTCTACTCAATGTGTATTTTTAAGATATCATTTTTTAAAAAAATTTAATTGTACATAATAGATATATTGGTCCTAAAAATTCCATGAATTGAAGACCAAGTAAAATATAAGTGTGTAGAACTCAGTATAATAGATAGAATACTTGCATTTTTTACATGATACACTATTTTTTTTTTCTTCGGAAAAAGACTCAAGCAAACAAAAGATTAGATAGAATGCAGGTTTGAAATTATCTAAGAAAAATAATGTACTCTCTACATGAAGGAAAAAAAAAAAAAAACAATTAGCTTGTGTACCATAATCCAATTAACAATAATTTATTAGAATTATCCTAGTTTAAATATTCATTAAGGTATATTCTTGCTATTTATCTCCTTTGAAATGTCACTTGAGCTACTAGACGGGTTCAATCCATATTCGCTTGTGGTTCCTCCATATTCACTGCTTGCAAAATCTTGAGTTGCTAAAGCCATTTGCCTGAACTTCTTGAGGTCTTTACTATATGCACGAGTATCATAGTCCGAGCTCCCCGATGAGCTAAGCATCGTGTTTTGCACTGGCTTTTGCCCTTCACTATTTAGGTCTTCTAATGATACATCTCCTTCTAATGCTCGAACAATCTATAATTTTAATATTTATGGACGTTATATAACGTTCATGTTAGTTATCACGCCTTTATGAAATACCCGGATCAATAGAAATGTCATTAAATTAAACTTATAAAATTTTCAATTCAAGGTATTGGGATCAAAGTCTACTCGAGAATTGAAATGAATCATTTGTTAAGAAGGGAAAAAATATGTTAGTTGAACGAACGAACCTGGCTCATTTTGGGGCGTCTCTTAGCAGAATGGCGAATGGACGCAGCAGCACAAGCCACCATTCGTTTCATTAAATTAGGGTCATAGTTTTCTTCCAAACGTGGATCAACAAACTCATGGTAATTGTCAGTTTCCAATGCTTTAGTTAGAAGTGGTCTGGACTGTGAACCATAAATAAAACCATACATTTATAATGCAATACAATGGTCAAAAGATATATGTCAGTATTAAATTTAGCACTTGCTTTCACTCTTTTAGTCAGTTTTCTATTTCAACAATAGAATTAATTAGCCACCTCAAATCTCATATTTCACAAAAGAAAGCCGCCTTAACTTTTTTTTTTTTTTTTTTAATTTGAGTCAACTAAACACTAAACTCATTGTTGTAAACCAAATCAAGTGTTTTTTTTTTAAAGGAAAAAGAAGAGTTGCATGTAATACCCAATCAACCAAGCTATCTTCCATGTACTTCATGTGAGGGTCAACTGGTCGACGTCCAGTAATAATTTCTAGCAACATTACACCATATGAGAAAACGTCCGACTTTTCAGTGAGCTTGCCACTTGAAGCATACTCAGGAGCCAAATACCTGCATTATATTATGAGTGATTTATATATATATGATTCATATCATATTATCATTAAAATCACTTTATCGTAGCTTTAGTAAAATCTAAAGTCATCAAAATGTAAAACTTATTAGAATTAATATTTTAACACTTTGGTATCTAAGTCAATTTGTGAAATAATTTTGGATGAAGTGAACGATTAACTCACCCAAAAGTTCCCATCACACGAGTGGAGACATGAGTATTTGTATCAGTGGTAAGCTTAGCTAGTCCAAAATCAGCAACCTGAATTTCACAAAATATATCTATGGTCACTTAGCTTGCAAAAGTGGGTAGAATTTTGTAATTATGTTACTCGTATTTATGGATACTTTTTCTGCTTGAATACTAGTGATGATTTTTGAAAGATAATACTTCGTATTTGTTTTCGAATTAAACAATTTTAGTTGGAGAGAAGTTTCAAGAAATTCATAATTTTGATGAATCATTTAATTTAAGAATAGAGGCGAATAATATACACAGAATGAGGATGAAGGAAAAGAAGTTTATTGATGAACATACCATGGCCTCGTAGTTTTCGTCCAACAAAATATTAGAAGCTTTGATGTCACGATGGATGATTCTTGGGTGACCTGGTACGTATTACATTCAAAACATACCACAAAAAAAAAATGAATGTTAAGCATGTGAATAAAGAATGTACTGGTATTAGAGGAACTTTAGAAGCTTATATATATTGTAAATAAATTAGACACCCATTGTATCAATGTGTAGTAAACAAAACAAAATATAGGAGATTTATTAAGGAAAAAAAAAAAAAAAGTTCGACAAGACATACAATCTTCATGAAGGTAACCAAGCCCTTTAGCTGATCCAAGTGCAATACGAAGCCTAGTTGGAAAATCCAACTCTCCTCTTTCTGAAATCAAAATCAATTCAATGTATAAGCAGCAATTAACAACCGACCTAATCATGACTAATGAAACTCGTATCAATCAAATAGGTCCTAAAGAAATTAAACCCGACAAAAAATACTATACTAGTGTAGAATCAATGACATACTATGGAGGTGGTATTCTAAAGTTTCATTAGGAACAAACTCATAAACCAACATCCGTTGTCCACCAGCAATACAATAACCAACCAAGGACACAAGATGACGATGATGAACACGGCTAATAATTTCAACTTCTGCTTGAAACTCTCTTTCCCCTTGACCACTACCAGACTTTAGGCTTTTCACAGCAATTTCTTTTCCATTTGGTAAAACGCCCTTATGTACATATCCAAAACCACCTTGCCCTAACATCATTGACCTATCGAACCCATTTGTTGCGGCAGCTAGCTCCGCGTAAGTGAAGGTGCTCTGGTTAAAACCCAAGCTTAGACCTGGAGATGGTGCTGTTGATGTTGCATTGTGCCCTGATTGTTGCCCGCTTTCGTCGCTAGTCCCCGTTGGATGTCCCCAACCCTGGCCACTAGATGTTGGGGGAATCTTGACTGCATGGTGATCTTGAGAAGAATTTTGCCAATATTGGTTATTATGATTATTGCCTGAAAGTCAAGCAATGCAATTAATTATCAACATTATTTTTTATTGTGCTATACTTTGTATTTTCAGTATTTTTTATCATAAACATAATGCAGGTATGCATTGAATAGATGTTGCTAACTAATTTAGTTGGTAAAGTCTCAGATACATGATACTCGTGTTTTTGTTGTTCAATGAATGAAAACAATGTGACAAAAATTCACATATAGGGTTATGTACCTTGAGGTTTATTAGGACCACCTTCCCAACCATAAGAGGGCATACTTCCACCCTTTCTCCTTTTCTTCTTTCTTATGCAAAATACACAAACCGCCATTAGGAAAAGTAGAAGGCCACCAACCACCACCACTCCAGTTATGACCCCGTTACCATTGGATTTTGATGAGCCACCAGAAGAGCTTCCACCAGTTATTGATGAAGGGGATGGTGATTGGTTAGAGGAACCACCTCGGGGTCCCGATGGGGTTAGTTCTTGAGGTGGGGATCGAGGTTGTGATGGAACATCCCTAGACGGCCCACCACCACTATTACCACCTCCCTCACTAGGAGGCTGGTTGTTAATACCATTACCACTACCACTACCACCACCACCACCCTCGCTAGGAGGCGGGGGTGATGATGATGATGAGCCTGGTGGTGGTGGCGATGATGATGATGATCCTTCTGATGGTGGTGGTGGGGATGGAGATGAGTTTCCGCTTTCAGGTGGTGTAGGAGAAGAAGGAGGTGGTGAGGAAGGCGGAGGAGAAGATGAAGATTGCGAAGGAGGTGGTGGAGATGGCGGCGATGATGATGATCCTGTCGGTGGTGGTGATAATGATGAACCTGATGGTGGTGATTGATCAGGAGAAGGTGATGATCCGTCTTCCGCCATTTCTTACCTACAAGCTAAGCTTTTCTTTCGATACAAATTTAATTAGTACTTCCACATGAAAAGCTTTTGTTCAAGAAACTTTACCCCTTGGCTCTCCCCCTTTTGCTCGCCTCTAATTCTTTCCAAACCCTATACATTAATAACAACAAAAGTAAAGATAACAAATAAAATTATATGGAGTAAATTATTTCATACATTCGTGAGTATGTCACACAACATATAAAGAATATGTATGCATGCACGTGGTATGAACCCTCTTGAGTGTATCTTATATATAAGCGTTAATATTAGTGGTTGCATACTTGCATGCATTGGATTACAACAAAGGATATTTAAGCATGTATGTATGGTTGGTAATAAAATGCAACATATCATGAAATTATATTCTAGAATTACCCCTTACATGTTAACAAAAACATAGAAATAATTAAAGAGGAGACAGAAAGAAACCTGAAGGAAGAGAGTTAGAAAAGGGAAATCAAAAGAAAGAGAAGCAAAAGTTGGAGTGGAAGGTAGATGGCATGATAGAAAGGAGGACATAATCCATTACTCTCTCTTCCTACAAAAAAGGATCTTATCGTTCTGTCTATTTCCTTTCACTTTGTTTAATTTTTTTTTTTTTTTCCATAATTTCATTTTCTCTTTCTTACCCATAATGATTCCCCTTAATTTTCGTACTTTTAATTTTAGCCATCATATTATTAGCATATATTAGCCACCATTATAGAGAAATAACAGCCTCTAAATCATGATCTTAAGCTCTAAAATAAGAGTATGAAATGAAAGATTTTAAGTAGTAGCACATTTTTTGGGGGATAAAATTTAATTATTGTATATGATATAGGCGTAGAACAAACTTAAAACTAATCATATTTATACTAGAAAGATGTTAATTGGAAAGTTAACAACATAAAAATAAAAAATAAAAAATAACATGATACCATTAGATTCAAACCTTATTATTACGACTTTCTCATTCTAATAATTCTAAAATCGATGAAGTGATCAAGATTTTTTTTTAATAAGACAAGTTTGGGCTCGATCTGGAGATCAATACCTGGGTTTTTGTTAGGATTTTGGGATAGATGTTGGTGCGATATGCCAAAATTTTGCTATTTTAGCTTTAAATTTTGAAAATTTACCCAAACCCTATTATAGTATTATGAAAGTAGTAATTTATAAATACACAAACTCTGATCTCTTATGTAGGCTAATCATTATTATTTATGTGTTGTATTAAAATCTATTAGTTCAATTGGTCAAGTACCTTATACTTGCACAAAAAGAATATGTAGATTCAAAATCTGCCTATGTTATTGGTTAATTGAACAATATTTTATAAGAGCCAATACCTAATCTCTTAAGTTCCTTGTACCATTACCACAATATCGATGGCTTATTTTATAGTATAATAAGGGTTACGTTTAGCCATTTATGGGGTAGCTTTATTTTAGTCATTTTGAGGATATTTTAATATAATTCCCAATACTTTATTCTTCACCAAAATATATATATATATATATATATATATATATATATATATATATATATATATATTCTTTAGTGATTGATTGAGATTAATAAGCTAGATTTTGTTTTCTTTAAAAAAAAAAAAGAAAAAAAAAGACTAGATTTTGTTCATGGTTGATTGAGATTCATAAGACGTTCAATTTATATGGTCATAAATTTATAATGTATTCCTTTATCATACTGTGATGACCATGTAAGACTCCGCTCACTTCACTTTACAAAATAATATTCAGTAAAAATAAATTCCTAGTTTAGTAAAAACAAGTTTACTTCAGTAAGATTAATTTCAATTCAATATAAAACAAGTTTACTTCAGTAAGATTAATTTCAATTCAATATAATTAATTTCAGTTCAGTAAAAATCAGTAACTTTATAGAAGAATTATAATAGAGAATCGATACATTTAATTTCAGTTCGGTAAAAATAATTTAAGTTCAGCAAAAGTACTTTCAATGTAATAAAGTGATTTAAATTGAACAAAAATAAGGTGAATTGAACAAGGCCTTATTGAACGTCTTATTGAAATTCCTTTTTCATTTTTTTTTTTGAAATATCTTTTTCCAATTATTACTTTTTTTGAACAATCCAATTATTACACGTATTACGTTCAGTTTTAAGGAATTTATTTATTTATCTATATATTTTTTTTAAAAAAGTTATAAGGAAACTTTATCCATGCAAACTTGCAAAGATAGATGTTTGGACTCCCTCCATACTACTTTGTATTTCTATTTCACCAAGGATTAGGAATTTATACCTAAATTAGGAATCGTTACTTTTGGTTATAATTAAAATTACATACCACCATATGCAACAAAATCTTCATACAAACATGGCTTCTCCTCTCAATGACAACAATAGCCACCAAATCAAGGCAACATGTACAGCAATCCCGGTCACTCGTATCGTGTCCATTGGTAATTCAAAAGACGACTCAGACTCACTACTCATCAAACTCAAACTCAAAGTCAATTTCAAGCCATTAAATAACATTGACGGAAGAGTGTCATCACACATATCCATCAACAACAAATACCGCGACAAGAGCTTACATCAGACGATGGTAGCCCTAGTTCCCGCTCATGGGCTCGTGTATCGAATATGGTTTCCAATATCTCACCATCCATCCACTTCCCGTTGCGTGGGTGGACCACACACGTCGTACCACTCAAACAACACCTGTAAGTCTTGAGAGGCAGGAACAATTGGTAGAGCATATTCTGCAGGCAGCACGATCAATGGCGCATGATGGGACAACGGTGATGGAGGTCAAGCAGCAGCCATATAGCAGGCAGCACCGCGAGTTGCATCTACGCATAAATGAGACTCCTCAAGATTCTGGAATTAAAAAGGTATAATGCACAAAATACTAACAAGGAGAGAACTGATAAATAACAATTAGGGTAAAATCAACGGTGCTTCAGAATAAAAGAAGTTTAGAGTGCATATTAATCTCAATTATTATTGTTGAGTGGAGACAATGTGCAGTTGATTGTTTGATTAATTAGGTAATCTTCTTTAATTATTCAGCAGATTAATTTTTATTTTGCCTTTTAAATATAAATGAAAATTAAGATATTACATTAATACGTAGTGTTTTTTCATATTTGTCGTTTTTTCAAGGACTTTTTTTTCCCCTTAAAATTCAATTCCTAAATTGCAAAGGATAACTTAACAAATTATGGTAGAATTTTTGTCCTAAACAAGTTCAGATACGGTGTATATATAGCTGATGTTGCAACCCTTGCAAGTATTAGAAAGTCATGGTCAACAGCAACTATGGTCAACGATAGTCAACATAATTTTTGTCTAAACAAATCTTAATTTGGTCAGGTTTAGTAAGATATTGTGAGATAATCTAGAAAAGTTGTTAATGTATAGAACTAGTTCCTTAACTAAGTGCTCTTGATGTACTGTATATATTGGCAGAAGAATTATTTACTATTTTTTTTTTTAAAGGTGAAGAAAACATAGCCTTAGTTGTTAGATTAATTAGTTAATCTTTTGTAATTCAAATTTTTATTTTTTTTAAAAAGAGTTTTTTTTTATCTCCTAAATTGCAGAGAATAATTTTGAAAAAGAAAAAAAAAATTATTGTAAATTTTATGTCAACACTTACAAAAAAAAAAAAAAAAAAATCTTGGTCAACATAAAAAAAGATCATGGTCAACATAAAAAATTTCATGGCCAGCATTAATCATGGTTAACGTTAATCGCGGGAAAAGCTGATGAATCATGGTTAACGTTAATCATAGGAAAAGCTCATGTAGAAAGACCTGACTATTTTCTAACAAATACATGATCATTGACTAAGCAAATCTTAAGCAAATATGGTCAAGTTAAGCCTAATTCTGTTGCAGATTTAAAAGGAAGATGACAAACTGAAGATCTTTGCCCTCCTTCCTTCGACAAATACAAGTGTAGTTTATCGACCTTCTTAGCACTTGTATGTAAAAATTATTCATCGAACATACTACACATGTAGCAATTTTCGCTCTTGTGCGTGACACACTGCTTAATTTTTATAGTTTATCAGACTCATAATCATCGGTTAAGGCATCCATTACAATGAAAGCTACCCTCAATCCCTCAAAGAGCAATTCAAAAAGTAGTGCATATAATTTGTTTAAAGCGTAATACAAGTATTTAATAACAGACATAAAGTATAGCCCGTATTTTCACTGACCTTAAATTAAACTTTGTTGATTAAATAAATTTTTTACTTATTTTAATAAAATTATGAGAATAACCAAGTGTTTTCCCTATATGCAATGACAAGGTTTAACTAATAAAAGATTGAGCTTGATAGTTATAGTCTTAGAATGGAAGATATATAGTTACACAGGAAAAATTGCTAGGAGCCAATAATTACAAAAAAAAATACACAAAATCAAAGAAAATGATGTCACAAAGTAAAATCTAGCTTGTTAGAAATTCAACTAAAACAATCAAATGTATTCACAATTTGCATTTGGGGTCAAATCAAAGCCTATTCAAGCCCAATTCTGCAAATGGGATTCTTCTTCATCAATCCCAAATCAACCTAACAACCAAGAAAACGTCCAAGTGTTGTAACAGAATGCCAATAAAGAATTCTAATATACTAAAGTTATAAATATTCATAAGAAGTACCTTGTGCCCGAATAGATCCCTTATGTTATCGATTCCATACAGGATCATTGTAGGCCTGCAAAAACAAAAATGCTAAATAACTAAACAGTCCCTCTTTTCTTTCGTGTTGTTTATAGTCATTTCTATGCAAAGTAACAAACCAACTCAAATGTACTACTAGTAGCAAAGTTTGATTGAAGTATCTTCAAAATTCTATCAACTAAAATTACCACAATATAAGGAAATCAATACTGTATATTCTTGTAAAATAGAAAACATAGTTGAGTCTGCTTGAAATTGCTCTAACAAAATTGTGGCTAACCATATTTTAAGCTCACCTCTCAAGGGATAACCCCCATGCAACAACACAAACATCATCTGGAAGCCCCATAGGAAGCAACATCTCAGATCTGAACATGCCAGAATTTCCAATCTCCACCCACTTTCCAAAGCCTTCATGATAACTGGCAAATCAAAGATC